TTTGGAACCAAGAAAGTTGTTGCCATGTTTTTTAAATGTTGGCTTTCTGAAGGAGACGAGGAAGTGACATAAAGGTTGCTGAGAGATCCAGGCTGGTTTAGGAGATGTCACCAATGAACTTTTAATAAATGATCTCTGTAGAGAAAAATCTGTGACTCTGAGCTCTTTGTAGACTGAAGAGGCAAAAATGTTTTTCCTGAATTAACCCATTTCTGCTGGAAGTAGAGAATATGTCACTTCTTTATAGAAAGTATCCTTGGTAGTGAATATCACAGACACTGGGTTTTAATCCCTCCCTCAAACCTGGAGTGGATGCCAGCGTTATCTGGGGCTCAGTGCTCTCATCTGGAAAGTGGGCCAAGTATGAGGATGAAAGGCATTAGTAGTGGATGAGTGTTTGCCTTCTTCTCTTTTATTTCCTCCTGTAGTTTTCCTTCCCAATCCCCATTCCCTGTGGACCTGGGAGTCTACAATGAATAGTCCGTCTCCATTTGAATGGACACTGGTACCCTACACTAGGGATTCAGGGAAATGACTTGGGTCTCCACCAGCCCTGAGATTCCCTCTGATGATACATGAAAGCTTTTGGCTAAGGAGGCATTTAGGGAAATAATCAACTACCTAAAATGTAAACACATTTAGATCTTACTGTTTACTGGCACTTTACTGAATTTACACAGAAGATGACCTAGAAATAAGCAGAGGAAAGCTGTGTGACATTTAGATGCATATCACATATGCATAATTGATTCTTCAAAAGGTTAAATACCCTTGGCATATGTATGGTTAGTGATATACCTGTGATAGGTTGATGATCGTTATGACAGTGGCTTTGTTTTACGTAATTCTAAAGTAAATGTCACACTTCTTCTTTGGAGATTCCAGGACTGGTATTCAGAAGAGCATCTCTTTCGAGGCAGATACCTGGGTAGAGAAGCTACTCTTTCCCAAACAGAAGGACTATTCATGTCGCTAGTACACTAGGCTATATGAGGCACCGACTGCCACTGAATTCTCTTTGGAATTGAAATGCAATTACATATTGAGGACAAGTGCTAAATATAAACAGAAAAGGTCAAATACCTGACTTTTTTTTTTTTTTTTTTGTATTTGAGGGGTATTTGCAAGGAGAATTAACTACCCTGAACACACCATAATCCTTAATTGAAATGCACAGATCAGGCAATTGGTTGAATCCTTTAGTGGCTTTCTTCAGAAGCTTATTGTAGCTCTGAAACATGGATCTTTTCTTGTGTTCATAAGCAATTGTAAAGATGCTAAGGAGATTAATAAAAGAAGCAAGTCACTAAAATTATATAGAATGAAATACCATAATACATGCCCTAAGAATATAGAATGAAATACCATAATACACGCCATAAGAACTGGAAAAAACAGGCAATATGTTGCCTAAGGCAAAAATTATGTAACTGGGAATGATTATTACAAAAGTTCAAGTTGTAGTTTTCTTCTTCCAGAAGGATGGAAATACAGTTTGATTGGTGCTCACAGGGGTTTTCACTAGATGAATGATCCCTGGGTGTTTAGTGTTGTTTTTAAATACTGTTATAAATCTTTTCTTAGATGTGTTATATTTCCTAACTTTTAAAAATGGAAAAGACAAAACAACAAAATGCAGTGAAGGGAAAGCACAAATTAAGTAAAAAAAACCAACACTATAATACAGTAATCATAATAAAAGTTGGTGGATCTCAGGTTGGCGGATGTATCTTCTTACTGTACTTCTACAAAATTTAAGTACATGCTTTGTGCAAGACACAACTATAAAATACAAGTGCCTACAAGGATCAAAAGTAGAAAGACCAGAAAAGGTATACCTGCTAAATACCAACAGAAGAAAGCTGTTGTGGCTGTTTAAATCATGAGAGGGGCTTCCCAGATGGCTCAGAGTAAAGAATCCGCCTGCCACGCAGGAGACGCTGGTTTGATCCGAGGAGCCTGGTGGGCTACAGTCCATGGGGTCGCAAAGAGTTGGACACGGCTTAGTGAGTCAACAGCAACAGAAATCACGGGAGGCCGGTTGTTAGGACAGAACAGAACGTTGGTTCCCTCCGTCTCCAGTTCCTTCCACTGTTCCTCCTTTGAGCTGCTCATCCAGGCATCCGCTCCAGCCTCCCAGGACTTCTGATAAGTATCCCCGCCTACTTTGGTCTTACTCCTAGCTAATTGTTTTTAAAGCCCAGGATCTTCACTTTCTCAACCCTCTGTGTACCACTGATTTGGTGCTTATCATACTCGGTGTTTTAATGTTATTGATATTCATGCATTTCTTTAATTAAGTGGTAACACCCTGAAGCTAGAGACTGTAACTTATTCACCTTTTAACCTCCTCGGTCCACTCACCCAAAGACCTGCCATACGGTGGAGCCTCGTCACCTGGTGTATAGCAGAAGGTCCATACTTTCTTAGAGTAGAAAGTCAGCATGTCACTGGTGCACTGAAAAATGACTTCTGAAAAGCACATTAAAAGCTCTTTCAGGACGTTTGAGTACTTTGCCAATGCAATGGGTTTACGTTTTCTAAGCAAGTTCTCAGCCAGAGTTTTAGAGTGCACGGAGGAAGAGATGCCAACGCCTAGAGTTACCGAGAACTGTGCCGGGCTGGTGAGACCAAGACCATCGCCTCAGCGGGAGTGTGCCCCTGGGACCCAGCTGGGAACTCCCGTGGGCTCGGGGCTGATCTTCAAGGGCAGGGGCGGCATCTGTCAACAAAATACTTTTTTGCCTCTGCACATCGAACAAAGTCCAGCACATAGTACGCCATTAACAGATGCTTCTGCAAAGTGTGAGAGAATTAAATAGCAGTCTTGGATAATTCAATTCACTGCTCTGGGCTCAAAGCATGTACAACTGAAGGGTTCCCAGTATGATGTAAGCTCCGGCTTCTCTGCACAGGGGGAGGGTGGCTGGGCAGGTGAAGGGGGCAGCCTGCCCCACGAAGGATGTGGGTGTTAGCACTTGGATTTGCACTCTGGGCTAAGGGCTGATTGAGGACAGCTGAGGAACCTGGGTTCGGTTCTGCCGGCTATTGGGGGTCTGTGGAAACATGCAACAGTGTTTTAACAAGACGGGAAGGCACATGGGACAGATCTTCAGTGCTTGTCCTGCTGGCCACCCGGAAGTTGCTGGAATTCCTCTTTTCTCATGGCATACAACATATGATGTCTGCTGCAAACCTCTTTTAAACATCCTAGTTTTTGAATAAGCAATATGTAAAACATATGGTATAAAATTCAAAGGAATGGCAAAAATAAGTACTATCACCTCTGCCCAAGACATCCACAATTACCGTTTATCCCACTTAGTTTTACATAAACACAAATGCTTCCTATTTGGGGATACAGGTAAATGTTTATGGGCTTCCCAGGTGGCTCAGTGGTAAAGAACCCACCTGCCAATGCAGGAAATGCTGGAGACATGGGTTTCATCACTGGGTGGGGAAGATCTCCTGGAGTAGGAAATGGCAACCTACTTCAGTATTCTTGCCTGGGAAAATCCCATGGACAGAGCAGCCTGGTGGGCTAGTCTATGGGATTGCAAAGAGTCAGACACAACTAATCACACAGGCATGCATATATATGCATGATTATATGGACTTATATATTTTCTGTCAAATAACATATTATACCAAATCATGATTTTTTCATTTAACAACGTACGCTGTATGTATGCTGTAGTTCTTTCCATTTTTCGTTTTCTTATCTTTAAAATCCCAGCCTCTAATATTGTCTGAGACACTGACAATGTTCAACTATATTTTCATGAACCAATGAATGAGTGATTTCATAATGGTCTCTAATTCATTCTGAACCTGAAATTCACCCACCAACACATTTTCTACATGCCTTGTCTTAAACATCATCTCCAATATGCATCTTTTTGTCTGTAAACATCCCTCTGATTTAATCTCAAAAACTTTGAACCTTCCCTGAATATTGCCTTTTAGGCTCTCCTTCAGGAGTTATCTCTAAGTACTTAGCAATCGCGTCCTGTTTGTTTTATTGCTTCACTATTCGTATTTGTTAATATAACAGCTATAAGATGTGAACAATGCTCCTTTTAAATTAATTCTTGTTGGAGTATAATTGTTTTGCAGTGTTGTGTTGATTTCTGCTGTTCAGTGAAATCAGTCAGTTATATGTATCCATCCATCCCCTCTGTTTTGGATTTCCTTCCCATTGAGGTCACCGCAGAGCCCGGAGTAGGGCTCCCTGTATGGGACAGTAGGCTCTCATTAGCTTCTATTTTATCCACAGTAGTGTATGTATGCAAAGAGTGAATGATTCTCTTAACAATGGTTTTTATTGAGTACTTATTTGTGCCAGCCATTATACTAGTATTTCTCACGAATCCCTAGGACATACCTGTAAAGTAAGCAACAGTATCACTCTCATAGCCCACCACCAGTCCATGCCCCGATCCACGGATCAGCGGCCCCCACCCGCCCAATTCACAGATCAGTGCCCAGTTGCTCATAGCTGTAAATCTCTATCTCACTCTTTATTGCCCCCCTTATTTCTTACTGCCCTGCCCACTTCCTTACTTCCTGGAATCACCAACCACATAAAATACTGGCACTCATCTTTGTCTCAGAGTCTGTAAGGAAATCAAACCTAAGGAAACTGAGGTTTAGGATGTGAATAATCAGTATATTAATTGGCAGATTCAAGCTGTCAACCAGAATCCATGCTCAGAAACACCAACCCTTACTGCTACCTAGATGATGGTAAATGCCTCAAAGCAGGCTCAGGAATACTCTGCTCTCTCCATGGTGGGTTTCAAAATGCAAGCCGAAGTTGACACTTACCACGTACTTCTGCAGGTCAATGCTGTTTTATGTTCCGGGGCGTCTCCTTTCTGCCCCAGCACATCAGGATGTGCACTTTAGGTAGCGGTAGCTAAATACATATGCTCATCGTTTGTTGCTGTGGCGTCCTCATGCTTATTTACCTGCTGACTGTCTTCTCCTTGGCTCTACAGATAGCAACTTCATCCTCGCCAACGCCCAGGTGGCGAAGGGTTTCCCCATCGTCTACTGTTCGGATGGCTTCTGTGAGCTCGCTGGATTTGCCCGAACAGAAGTCATGCAGAAGAGCTGCAGCTGCAAATTCTTATTCGGAGTTGAAACCAATGAGCAACTGATGCTTCAGATAGAAAAGTCCCTGGAGGAAAAAACAGAATTCAAAGGAGAAATTATATTCTATAAGAAGAATGGTGAGTTGGCTTCCTTTGTTGGGGGCTCCTTGGACAGTGGTGAAAAGTCACCTTCTTTCAACTGCCGTTGGTGTGATCGCTCCAAAGCTCCCATTAAAGGCTTAATGATCTTAGCAGCATAAACTACTTGAAAATTTAGAATTATACAAAATCAGCATATTAACTGAGTTAATATATGTTAAAATAGAGTGTATAACTATCATGTTGTGGTCATGCTTAAGATATATATCAGAAATGGTGATTGTCAATCTATTAACAGATGATCTTCTATCCAGAGATAGTTTTGCATCTTAAAGAACACTTAAAGAATACAGTCACTAGGGACGGAGATTCAAATGTCTCCTATCATAAAAATTAGTTTAAAGGACATGAGTGTAGGTATTTTCTTTTCCAGTTTCCTGACCACAAAGCCTTTCTCACCATTCTTAAATTCTGGAGACAAAGTAAAAAACACACAGTGTCTCAGGGTGGGAGTAAATTTGCCTGGATTCAAAACTGCCCCTGGGGAGATACTAAGTATTTTTTATGGGCGTGGCTTTGTGACTCTCTCTTAAATGAAAAAGTATCTAGGGATGGGTACGTCTTCTCTTCCCTTCTGCGTGGGACTAGCTATCATTATCCTGTGGTGGGGGGGTGGGTCCAGGGGCGTTATATTGGAGAAAAGCTGTATCAAAACTGAGAGCAAACCATGTCTTTCCAGTTTCTGGAATTCTTTTTCTTTAGTAGATTTCCTTTGAGTACCATAGCCCCCTCAATTTTATTTAGCTGGGCACACGACCGTCAAGCTAAAGAATATGTTCCCCAGCCTTCTTTGCAGTTAGCTTGGCATGTGACAGGGTTCTAGCCAATGACATGTAAGAAGAATGACTTATGTAATATCTGAACAAACTCCCTAAAAAATGAAATTGTTTGCCCTCTAATTTCTCTTCTCCTTTCCTGTGGTGTTGTGGACTGAATTGCATCTCTTTAAATTTCAAATGTCAAAGCCCTAATCCCGTAAAGCAATCATCAATCAATTAAAAAGAAATATACTTTAAAAACAAGCCCTAACCCCTAATGTGGCTGGAGAGATAGGGCCCCACTTAAATTGTACTCTAATTCAAGGTTTCTCAGCCTTGGCACTGTCAACAGTTGGGGCCAGTAAGTCTTTGCTGTGGGGTTTGTCCTGGGCATTGCGGACAATTAGCATCATCTCAGGCCTCTTTAATACTTGGTGTTGGGGTCATTTTTAGGAGGAGATACTGGAACCTGAACGTGGAACTTCATCCCCTTTTCACAGTTATCTATCCTTGGAGGACGTTCCTCGAGCGTGTGAATTGTGGGCGCACGGTGGGCATGAGGAACTGGCGAGCGCCTCTGGGAGGAGTAGGACGCCCGATTCTCTGGCACCAGGAAGAAGGTTCAGACCACTGTGTGCTTCTCAGGGTCCGTAGATACGGCCTGCATTGCAAATATGATAAAGCAGAAGCCTTCTAGCTCCCTCCAACTGTACCACCATCCTGGAGAGAGGGCCTGAGATAAAAGAAAGTGGAGGCCATCCCTGAGAATGCAGACTGTTAGGGAGTGATAAAACCCATCTGGTGAACAAACAGAAAAGGAAAAGCTTCTTCTGAAGTATCTGCTGACTGCAGACTTGTTCTTAAGAGACAGGTGCCTTGTACTGGTCTATGAAAATCCATTTGTGTTTCTTCCTTTTTACACCCTCTCACAACATCCGAATGGGGCACCTCTGAGAAAGGTTTAGGCTGAGGAGGAGAAGGTGGCAAAGCCAAAAGATGGAGACTTAGAGGCCAGATGGATGGAAACAGGGCGCTCAGTTGGGAGTGAACCTCCAGCAGGGCTTCCAGAACCTGCTTTTTATAAAAACACCCACTGCTCTTGGGCTCCTTTGGATGCAACGTTTTAAAGGACCAAGAAAGAATAAAGGTTTTATAAATTAAGGAATAATTAAGAAGGATAGCTAGTTTCACAGATAAACATAATACACAAAATTTTCTTTGGCTAACATAGAGCCGTATTTTACATGTTTATGTGCAAGAGTTAACATTGCTCGTTACTTATCCTCCCTCTAAATTTCCTAGGCTCTACCTATATATCAGAAATAGTAACACTAAGATGTCTTTTCATAAAGCTGCCCCCTTTGGTTCTGCTGATACACAAAAGGCATCCACTGTGGCTGATCAAATGTATGGGTGTGCTAATGAAAGGTTGTTGCTGAACCATGAAAGACTCCAGGATTCTTGGCCTCAGACGAGGAAGAATTCAATCCAGGGCCGGAGATGAGACTTGATCACTCAGAGCTTTTGTGCAATAGAGTTTTATTAAAGTATAAAAGAGATAGAGGAAGCTTCTGACACAGACATCAGAAGGGGGATGTAGAGTGCCTACCTTGCTAGTGTTAGCAATGGAGTTATATACTCTCCAATTAGTTATTACAATGAATCAAAAGAATGTCTGGAGGTTGCAAAGCTCTTACTAGACCCACTCCCACAGTCCACATTTCAAGATAACCAAGATAACAGGATTAGGCAGAAGGCTCTGAGGAAGGAGGGACTGTCCTCAAGCAGGATACAGCACTGCTATGTAATCCGTAGTGCAGAGTCCAAACCGAGTTGCTCGTTGTGTAATCATCAGTTCCAGGCTTAGAGGTAAAAACGCTTTGTGTGACTAAGACTAAGGAATGTAGAAGAAAAAATGTTTGTTCTTTCCTCCTCCTTGAGAATCCCAGACCCCTGTCTCCTCTTTGAGAGCCCCTCTCTCCTCCTCGGGCACCCTGGACTTCTTATCAACCTGCCTAGGAATTGACTCTCACTAACACAGCGAAACCATTTTATCAAGTTGGTACCTATCCTCTCCTTTTTTTTTTTAATATAAGAGACACTTTTTTTTAATATAAGAGATACTTACACCTGTGTGGTTCCCTTCCTTTCTTACGCACAGCATACTTTGCACCCTGCTCTATAACTTGCAGAACAGTATCCTTCATAGCTGTGTGTACCTTGCAGAACAACACATGCCGAATGGCAGTCACGCATTCTTTTCTATGGCATTGCATCCTATGGATCCACCATAAGACTATGTGGTATTACATAGTATGATATCATATGCATCCATCCTAGTCAGTTACAGTATCACATCATATGGATTCATCATAGGATTGTGTAGTATTAAATAGTAATATGGATCCTTCCTAGTCAGTTACAGTATCACATCATTTGGATCCATCATAGGATTATGGAGTATTACATAGTATGACATCATATGGATCCTTCCTACTCGCTCACAGTTGTCCATCACGTGGATCCATTACAGTATCACTTGGTCAGTAAATCCCCTACAGGATATTTGTGTTCACTCTAGAATGTGATCTTTTTTCTTTGCTCTTTCTATCTCTCTCTTTGAAGTACTGCTCTTGTCATTTGGAAAGTTTTGTGTTTTTTGGTAAGTTATTTTTATGTGAGATGTTTATATTACAGAGTCCCGCTTTTTAAAGTGTTTTCCTCATTTCCTATCATAAGAACTGTTATATCAGTAGTTAACCAGGAGCCACATCTCCCTCCTCCTCTCCCCACTAGCTAACTGGAAGGGATGTGCCATCAGCACCACAACGTTAAATCCGTAGGACACTCAGCACTTACGGTCTGCTTATCTTACTGTCTGCGCGCCGACCCCTCTCATCTCTTCCACAGTTATACTTACATTGTCAGAGCGTTCAGTACAACTGCGTGTACTTTGTCACTCCTATCTTTCTTTCTTCATTCAGTCTTAATGCTACAGTGAAATATGCTTAATGCTCATCATATATTCTGCCCTAAAGTTTCTCTGATCATGTCTTAGTCATCAGAAACTTACTCTCTGAGCCATCTCAGGAAGAGCTCGTGGAAACTGTGTCCCTGAACTCTTGCATATTTTAATAACAGTACGACAATCAGTTTGCTGAAAATTAAACCTTTGGTCTGTGTTTCATTCACTTTACCATCTCAATTGTGTTTATGCTCATGGGCTGGCATAGAGTATTGTTTTACTCTAAGACTGCTGCTAGTTAACTGAGTTGGTGTTTTTGTCCTGGATGTTCGATTAATTTATTTCATTAGTTCACTTCATTTCCTGTCATTTCATCTTATTTCTTCATTTTATTTTATTTTAAATCTAATAGTTGTACTGGAATATATCTTGGCATAGGCTAGGGTCAGCGTACTTTTCTGTGAAGAATCACAGAGTATTATGCATATTATGAATTTTACAGTCCACACAGCCTGTGTTGCAAGCACCCATCTATGTCGTCATAGTCTGAAAACAACCCTAGAAAATATGTAAATGAATACATGTTACTGTCTTCCAATAAAGATTTTATTTACAAAAACAGGAAGTGGGCTAGATTTAGCCTACATCCAATTTACTGATACCTGGTATAGAATTTTGGGGATCAGATTCTTTTCTCTTGATGTGTGATATGCCCTGTAGTGTTTAAGTCCCTTTTACTTGGGAAATTTTTCTGGGATTTTATCACTGATCTGTCTTCTTGCTTTGATTTTCCTCTTTATGATTACTTATTACATGTATGTGGAATCCCAGCCCGTCCTCTGTACCTATTATTTTCTTTTTCTTTTTAATTTATTTTTTCTTTTTCACTGTTTTTACTCGTGCAGTGTATTTTCTTTCCTTTCCTTTTGTGGTGTATCTATTCACACTGTATTTCTTATCTTTACATCTTCAGTTATTTGTCTTTCATTTATAGCCTCTCCTGAGTTCAGTGAGCTCATATTATTTCTATCATTCTTTTGCTGAGTATCTCAGTTAGGGCTTCCTTCACAAACCACAGACTGGGCTTCTTAAACAACAGAAATTTATTTTCTTACAATTCTGGGGGCTAGAAGCCGCGAATCGAGGTGCTGGATGGGCTGGTTTCTTCTGAAGCCTCTTGCCTTGGTGTAGAGATGGCCTTTCCACCTCTTTTTGGTCTTCCACCTCTCTCCTGTGGTCTTCCCTTATATGTCTTT